TAATAGCATACAATCCTCATTTCCCAGTTAGTAATTTACCATACCCACCCCGCCCCACCCCACTCCCCATATAGAAAACAATACGACATAGGGCTTATCTGATTTATAATATAGGCCACACACGTGTGTTTGAAACTAAATATAAGCATTTTCATCATGGTTTTATTCGTTACAAACATATTCTTTCACCATCTATACACATTGAGGCCCTTCTTTTAGGTGAAAATGATCTATCTTAAATTTGTCTTTCTTGAGTTTGGGACTATTATGTGTTTAAATAACTTAAACGTATAAAACTAAAAAAGCCCTAAAAAATTCGCGCCAAGCGCGCAAAATATTTTTGTGTTTTTAATTCTAATTTCGTCGGAATTAATGAAAACTCCCTCGCTCTACACACAATACATAAGATGATGCCTTAAGATTGAGGTGAGCGGGGTTCGGATAGGCTTGACGAAGGAGGCACTGGACTTGTAATGAATCAAATTAAACAGTGTTTGGCTTTAAGTGTGAGCATATTATATCATCAAATCGAAATTATACAAAATAGCAATTAATGCTAAAACACAGTCAGGTTACAAATAATATATAATATAATAAGTACAAATTAAACTTATATTTTGTTGACGAACATCTTGCTCGATGTATTTGAATCACTCAGTAGGGATGCTGTTGATTCGTAGGTCTTAACACTGTTCACGATTACCAAGTCTTCTGATAGGTGTGGACTCCAATCCTTCACTCAGTATGACTTTGGGAATCTTCTCTCAACACCTGAATTTGTTGAGCAATGGAGAGTGTTAGACAACTAGGTTTCGACTGCTCTCTTTAGCTTAAGAGTAGATGTTGTCTAATGCTCAAGAATTTTCTTATCTTAACATCTAATCTACGGACTAAACTACCAATATTCTCTATACAGGCCTATTATTCATTGGAACAATATAATCAATATATGGATCATGGAATGATTATGATAATAGTCAGTGTTTATCATGTAATAGCATTTTAGCTATAAATGCAAATAATAATTTCATTAACAGAATATAAAGTTACTTAAAACACATAAGGTGAGAGGCAATTTAAGATTAACTTGATAAAAGGGTTGCATATATTATAGACAGTTATATTAAATAATCTAAACATTCAGTTGACTTAACTAAACTGGTTAAGCTAAAAAATAATAAAGCTATGCTGGTCTTATCTGAATTTGTTGAGCAATGGAGAGTGTTAGACAACTAGGTTTCGACAGGAGAACCTACTGCTCTCTTTAGCTTAAGAGTAGATGTTGTGAATTTGTTTGTGAAACAATCTACTTTTATCTGATTCGTTCCCCTCCCTAATTATCGACAACATTCCTGAGACCTTTTGTTAGGTCACATTACAGGGTATAATTACCCTTCTAGGAGACGAGTGGCTGACCATTTAGATAGTAGTTTATACCAATACATAGCCAGTGGTTATCAGAGGCAAGGTGAATAATCCCATTAATTATTCTTATGGTCAGCAAGCTTCTTTGTCTTGTCTATCTTGGAATTTAGGGAGGTAGGGGAGTTATTTTAAATACTTTCCCTTCTGTACCATTTTGTGTACACTGGTTACACTAAATTTAAAATTTAGTAATAATATTGACTTATAGCAATTTCAATTGAAAGAGTTTTTGTGTATGTTTTTGCAGCACTTCCAGGGTTGTACGATGCGCCCTCTGTCGAGTACAGTGCTTCAAGTATCCATGTAATTTGGACAGCCTGGGACAGAAATCATGATTTTGGTAACAGAAATTCTAGCAGTTACGCTTTGAAATACTGGAAGACGTTATCAACGGATGAAGCAGCAACGATTGATAACATAACGGATACTCGAATAGACATCAGCATTTCGTTGATAGATTACAATCAATCTTACAGTGTGACTGTGTCAGTAAATGCTGATATTGACGGCGTGTCAACACAAGGAATTGCTAGCCCAGTCACGGCATTCAGTCCTATTGGTAAACTGCACTATTATAATCTCTGTTATTTAGTCAGTCTGGAGAGTATTTTATTTATTTGGAAATAGACGTGACACAGTTAATATTATACATACTATAAGTAAAAAATGAAATAGTATTTTTAAATATAATATTTGTAAATAATAATAATGATAATAATACAGTAATTAATATTTTATTTCATTCGATTTTCTACTGAAATCATACTGATACATAAACAAATATTCCAGTAAGAGAACGTGTCAACAGGTGCACCTCTAACTAAACCGACACGTTCTCAAAATGCACTTTTTCTTTTCAAATGTAGTAACAGCTAATAATAATAATAATAATAATAATAATAATATGATAATGATAACTGAATGTGGATGAGGGTGATGATGAAAAAATGATGATGTCGTCGATGATGATGATGATGGTAGACTTGCCACGGAAGTCTTTAATTTATGGATTTTTCGTAGTATTAGTGCATTTCGGAATGCGCCACCAGCGTCAGTTTATGTTGAGAAACTTTTTTGATGAGAATTAGATCCCAGAAAAAGTATACTATGGAACGCCATGCAAATAAGTAATATGGAACACCATTTGTGCCAAAATCGATTTATTCTTAAGCATTTCAACTGATTAAGACAAAGATTAGGGACTGGAACCCAGTCTAACGATGATGGCAACTATGACGAATACTTGATTTTAGATACATTCATGTGAAAAAGAAACTACTTTACTTATCATTTCGAAATTGAAGCTAATCCTTGATATTTTTCAGAGCCTCCATCCTTTTCATGTAACCCGTGTAACTTCACTCGACTTGCAAACTTTTCCACTGTTGTAACGTGTGATATTTGGAGTTTCAATGCACACAGCGGTATGGGAATTGTACAAGGGTACACTATAGAATATTGGAACGTGAACACACCAAGTATTTTGTACTCAGTCAGTGTAGATGAACCTGATCAGTCGCGAAGTTATACGGTTCTACTACCTGAAGTGTATGTGTACTACTCGTTCAAAGTAGTTGTGATGGCAAACTTTGAGCACAAAGGTGTATATATATATGGAACACGAAGCTCCTCTCTGAGCATTCCAAAAGGTTTCATGTTTTTTTTTTTTTAGCTCATTTTCAGTCAGGACTATATGTATTTAATGCTAGATTGTTTTTATTTATCTCTAGTTTTTATCTATTGATAATAGATAATTATTAATACATAATCAACACTTTAGCGCCTTTGATGAGAAAAAATCTTTATTATCTAATTTCTCATTTACATCTCGGTTTTTGATGACACACTTAATTCTAAGTCAGTAGGCAACTTTCGTAAAAATAGATAATTAAAATCAGCATTTATGAACGCATTACTTATTGCTACATCAAATCCAAAGTTATTTTTTTAATTGTTTATCTGTTTTAGTTAAGGTACCTGATATTACAGCATTTAGTGCAGTATATATTCTAGACAGTGATGAAACTGAAACGGAAATGCATGCTTACACCGGCCTTGAGGAGGGCTTCAACGACAACGTCATATTTGGTGTCGGTTTATGGGTTGACGACAACGGGACACATTATGGAGAAAAAGAGTTAGTAAATCAAGAGAACACAGTAGACAATTCTATATTCACTTATGGTACGACTTATACCAAATGCACAGGAATTGGTAGTAAGGCCCTGTACTGTACCCTTAAATTTCCCTCTGCTCTTGGTGTACGCCGAGTCGGTGTAAAATACATGTGGACAAAATTTGAAGGTTGCAGTGCTTCAGCGTCAATGGTGTTTCTAGCAAATAAAGGTCAGTGTATATATTCACACAATCTAAATTTTACGAGACTTGTATTAGGCGGTATTGAAAAGAATCTGGCATGTTTAATTGAAAATACTAATCTTGATTTTCATAATTTCGATACTAGGATTTGCATCACCTATATCGCGACATGTCTATGTTCCATTATAAATGAATCATTAATGAATGGTAGGCCTAATGGCTCCAAACGTGGAAAGTTTTATTGACTAATCCATATACAAAGGTAAAGGCAACAAACAACGCCCTAAAAAATAGACCCATATCAGTGGTATGCCATATAGTTAAAATTGATGAATAGTTAAGTTCAAGATCAATTTATTACATATTTCAATGAAAATGACCTTATAAAATGTTGACCTATATACTGTTACTGGCTAGTTCACCGTGTAATAGCTGATGATTGGCTAGTAATCCGGTAATGACCGCGAAATGATAGCCACGTGCTTTATCGACATTGCAAAGTATTTTGATACCATAAATTGTGCATTACTACTAGCAAAAAAATTGAAAACTATATGGATGTAAAGGAAACGAGTTATTGTGGTTTCAAAAGTACTTGGCTGGAAGGAAGTAAATAGTTAAATGTCCCAATAACACATTGCTTTATTATACTTTTTTTGTAAGAGGAGGGGCCCTTATAGATCAGGGGCTCCTGAGCTCGGAGGCCAATGTTCAATGAATCTGCTGAACCTGCTGTATACGCCACTGTGCGGGTGTTATACCAAGGTCTTTTTTCCTATGGTCATACACAACCAACTACATTACATAGGCCTAGACTCTTAGGCCTATAGTAACACCAGAAAAAAAAATTAATAGCCGAACAATAGTGTTTTTTTTTATTTTTGTTAATATAAACAATTTATATTTACTGTAAAATTTCTAGTAGAAAACCTGGGTCACTATTCCTTTGTTTTAGTTTATGGATGCGTTACGATGTAGCTCAATTTCCATACAATCGCTACACAGTTGCTGCAGCTTTTTCAATGCAATCCTTGCACCACGTAGCTGTCGTCCGACACAATTGGGAACGCTCCCTGATTCAACTGACCAATCAGCGTCGCCAAAGGAGTCGGCGATTGCGTGTAGCGATTTTTTTTATTTATTTTTATTTTTTTGTATAAAAACCAGGCTTTAGAGTGTAGAGAGTAATGAGTCCTATTATTAAGCATAAATTAGGCATTTTAAAATATTTATTCACCCAAGTTTACGTATGCCTGTGATTGGATTTAGACTATTCGGTGTAAACAAAAACACCAAGTCGCGAAAACATGAAAGTCTGAAGAAAACTTCTATCCAGTTGGGTCCTTCTGGTGGTGGTTGAGCAGTATACCGGGAGACAATCCCTTACTCTTTCTGTAGAGTGTGCTGCTTAACCAGTAAATGAGAGTTGCCAAAGTAGCATTTAAACCTTTACAATTAGTATTGATAAGTAAACAAATAGTCATTAATAGATCACACGCATCCTTAATCATAAACATTGCCACCATCAGAAGTGAGGTAGTTGTAGTGTCGGATCAGTAAAACTAGCAAGGTTTTCTGAGACAAATTCATGAACAAAATGTTACCAGCGCTATCCCATGACCATATTCATCTTAGAGTGGTTGGTCATCATTTAACATGAAATTATTGAATGGGTTACTATCCTAGTATGGGTCAATAATTATATAATATGTGTGTGTAAGTGGGGAGGGGGTGTTGTGTGTGTGTGTGTGTGTGTGTGTGGGTGGGTGTGTGACAGTGTGTGGGAGGGAGAGGAAGTGTGAAGGTGTGCTTGGTGTACAATTGCATAATCTATATTTGTAATTTGTAATATGGTTAGTCTTAGAACTAAAGAATGTAATAATAAACTTAGATTTGTGAAGAAAATCACAAAATTCTGAACTGTTAATTTCCTCTATGCATAAACTTAAGATACAGATACTGTCTTAATTTTTAACCGTATAAACAGAACAAAATCTTCTATATAAATCCAGTATAGTCTCAAACAATTAAGCTTCCCTGCTAACTTTATACCAAACTAAAGGGATCTCAAATCAAAATAATCCTATGTTTGCTTTTTCATTTCTTGTCTAGGCACCATTGTACCAGAGCATCGAACCATTACAACAAGTATTGGTGACACAGTTAAGCTGGTAATGATGATTCATGATAGTATAAATCTCAGTAGCTTACGATGGAAGAAAGATGGAGGATCCGATATCATAGAGTGGGCAGGGTTAAGCAACGCGACCATTGAAAACGTTCGGCAAAAAGACGCTGGTATTTACGAATGTTATCCGGAAGGACGACGGCACAAGGGTCAACACGCTATAGTACGAGTAATTGTTCGAGGTAAATTTTAGTTCAGCATCTTTACCCTCGTTTTCACATACACTACTGAGGTGTCAAACTGCCTTGCCATACGAAGTACACTGCTCTTTTTTTGTGTGGCTTGTGCGAGTTAACTACTTTAACCGCCTTTAATTCCCACAGAATTTTCACATTCACTTGGCTCATACCGTTTATGTGAATTGCCAATTATTGTTACACAGGGCCCGCTGGCACCCACCCCTGGGTGGTGACAGCGTGGTGGTGGTATGTTACTCTTCAGTGTATTTTTTATTGAATTTGTTTGTACATATACCTTGTGTTTGTTTAAATAAAGACATAACTTGTTGACTTTCCAAACAATCGCATTAGAGTGTCCTCGTGGGAAGTGTCTACCTCCAGATTGTAAAATTGACTGCCCTGTATGCTATAATGGGGGCGTGTGTTCTGCTCAATTCGGACCTTGTATCTGTCCCCCGGGCTTCAAAGGAGATAACTGTGAAGAAGGTAAGGCTAATACTGCTTAAATCGTGCTATCATTTTGCTGTATACTCCAGTCTCTATTAACACTCAGTAATTCTTATATTCTCTTACCTCGTTAAAGTTTTGATTTTTAAGTTCTGTTTATTGATTGTCATTTACAATAACAAATGATATTATTTGCTCTCATGAAAATAATAATATTATATAAAACATAGTAAAATCATTATAGAGAATATCAAATTCGTATTATCTATAAATATATAAAAAGAGAATTAGTCTAATCAATTAGTAATCAATCGACCAATATTGTGTTTCTGTTTCGTGTTTTTAAGAAAACATATGGAATATTCTTGGTAGACGAAGTATTTTAAACACGTTATTCTTATTCGAATTTCAAGCATACAATGATAATCTTAAGGCTCTGTGACTAATTATACTATAAAATGTGGGCCTAATATGACAATTTATTGAATGAAAACAGAACTCTAACGCTGTTTTTTGTTTTTGTTTTTGTGTTTTTTAAGCGTGTGGTAATAATAATTGGGGACGCGATTGCACTATTATATGCAACAGTACAGGTACAACCAATTGTAAAGGATCTTTTTTTTGTCCACCTGACCCTGTTGGTTGCTCGTGTATGTCAGGATACGACGGTCTTGATTGCAGCAGAGGTAACATTCACAGCATTTATTTCAATTGTTGCTCTATTACGTTTTATTAGTATATTATTTATTAACAGTATTACAACAGCTTAAACGCAGAAAACGTCTACATCTTTTGTCTGCAAGTGTACACACAATTATTAATTTATTTATAAAATGTCCTAGAACGAACGAACGAATGAATGACAAACAAGCCATCCATTCATCGACCCATCCTTCAATCCATCATCCAGCCTTACATCTATTTACGTATCTAATCATCCATCCAGTATTCATTCATTCATTCATCTATCCAGCTATGCATTTAAATTTTCCTCATTATCCTAACTATCCGCCCACATATCTATCTATCCACCCATCCATTTTACCAATCAATCCAACAATCCATCTATCTATAAATTCATGCATCAATCGATCAGTCAATCAACCCATTCATCCATCCATCCATCAATATATCCAACCATCCATCCCATCCATCTATTTTTGTATATATCTATTCATCTACCTATTCATCTGTTCATCCAGTTAATTGTCCATCCATTTATCCATTCATTATCCTAAAACGTAAAAAAAGTAAAATAATAAAGAAAAGCCTGTCACTGGCCTTTTATTATATAGAATTAATCATACACAAGCATATCTAAATCAGACCCATAGGCAGGGGGTGCACAGGGTGCAGACGCACCGCCCCCCCCCCCCAATTCCAAAAGGTCCACTTTTTAAAACCTATGGTTTCACAAAATCGTTCCTAATTATCACAAAATGCTATAGCATGCATTGCATTATATATTTGTTAGCTTATCTAACCGTTGATTTTTAATAATGTGGTATGAAATTTGTTAGAAATTGATCATCTCCGGTGATTGCAGATTGATCTATATAATATGAAGAATGTTGTCTATAGGCCTGCAGATGTACAGGACATAATAACGTTACTTTTTCAGGTCCCAAAAAAACCCAAATTAATGAAAACTTTAATGAATATTCATGAAATATGTGTTTGAGAAATCTATTATGCAAGACCCTCAAAATGCTACTTTGTCGCTTTACTCACAAACCCCTCCATGCCTCTGCCCCTGGACCACCAAATTTCAAAAAGTCCACTTTTTAAAACCTATTATTTCACTAAAATCGTTCCTAATTTGCCCGCTCTTCTACCCTTTGATTTTTAATAATGTGCTACGAAATCTGTTGGAAATTATCAGCTCCAGTGATTGTAGGCCAACAGATGTAAAGGACATAAATAATTATAATTTCACAGTGGTGGATTGAAAGGGGGAGAGCTCCCTAAAATTATAAAAGAAATGGAGAAAACAGAAAAATCATCATTAAAGTTTATCTGAGAGTGCCATTTCCGGCCACTTTGAGGTGCCATAATCATAAATTTTCTTAACTTCAGCCCCAACCATGGTGGGGCTGAGGTGGTATTGACCATCTGTCTGTGCAAGTTTCTCCCTTCACCCTACCCTCTATTTCTCCTGATTTACTGTAGGTCCCTAGACGATACTCAAATGAATGAAAATTTAAATAGGATATTACAAATTATGGATGTTAGAAATTCAATAAAAAAGGCCCTCAAAATCTTAATTTGTCAGAGCTTCCAGAAGATTCGCCCCACCCTTGCGGGGATCCATAGACAGTCACCCATCTTAAGGTCCACTTCAGTTCAGTTCACTTCAGAAATCCTGCCTACGGGCCTGTATATTATTTATATACATAAAGATACTGTTTGCGATTTAAACATTTAATTTGAAGATGTATTCTCGTTGATGTGACTTAGCATGTGACACAGAAATAACTGGCAAGTATGGACCAGGATGCCTTCTTGACTGTCACTGTAACGCTACTGAATGTCGGCCATCAGAGGGTTGTAACGAAGACGCCATTTGTCATTCTGGTTACATTGGAACGCGTTGTCTAGGTTTGTAAAAACTCAGTTTTAATACAAAACGAGTTAATAATCCTGATATAACCAAGATTTGGTTCTCTGGTAAAGAATTTATCCTCAAAGTTGATAACAAAAAAAGATAGGCGTTATCATGCCTACGTATAAAGAATATTCAGCTGAAAAAAATATGCACATTTTATAAGTTTGCTCTTTTGTCTTTCATAATAAATATTTTATCATTATCTTTATAGTTATTATTAGCGTCATTATTGTTTAAATAGTTTTGTAATGGTTAATTTTGTTATCAATGCAATCATTAATGCTATATCATTTATATATATTGTAACATGTTTAACTGTCCGAGCCTCGATAGCAGTTGGATCGGCAACGGTGCTATTCCATTGACTTTACCAAGGAGGTACTTAAGAGATAAATAAAGAAAATCGTACCACCAGATACCTGTATTCAATCTAGAGAGCAACGTTTTATGGTACATTCTGTATCCATTAACAGGTGAAAAAAACCTCAAAAGCAGTTCTCCTGGATAAGTGTACTATATAAATCCTATTAAGTAAAAACTAAAATAAAATTTATTGTTATTTAATTTTTTATTTAATTTATTTATTATTATTTTTTTTTTGTTTATTTCATTTTTGTTATTGTTATTGCTATTATTATTTATTATTTCTGTTGTTTCTGTTGCTGTTGTTGTTATCATTCTCGTTATCGTTACTAATGATTACTGTTTGTTGAATTTTGGTTTACCTTATATCAGAGAGGGACCCGGATGTTGAATGCCCCAATGGATTTTATGGCCCACAATGCACCAAAATATGTCATTGCCGAAGCTTGTCGAAATGTGATCGAAATAATGGAAGTTGCCATGATGGTGATGTTTGTGAAGACGGATGGGCCGGATTAGGATGCCAGCAAGGTTAGATAGTTACCGGTATAGCATGGATATAATACCTTCATGGTTATACAATATGCATTAAAATTGCAAATCATCCCTTTTATTGGAATGTTATTGATGCAAACTGTATTTTTTAAAAGCTCCTTCAAGCAGTTGGTAAACAATGTGACTTGGCTCATGGGTTAATTCGTATATTGTGTTTATTGACTTTTTATCTGCTCTATCTGCATTCGCCTCTTCTGCAATATAAGTTTGCTCCAAGCCCCTAGCAAGTAGGCTTAATCATGAGAGTTTACTTGGAGCACTCTAAATGATAAAATCCCGTCCGTGTATTTTTTTGTGTGTGTCTATCCAATCCAGCAGTTTTACGTTGTAATAACGTTTGGTTCTAAACCCTTATTCAACACATACATACGTATTTATTCCAACTTGAGAAGGTTGCTGTAACATTGTGTTAACGTTATTTTCAGTGTGAAAAAACGCAATTGCGACATTCACAACGTTCTTAAATGTTTAATATAGTAAAGTTTGTGTTTATTTTGGTTTTACGTGGAACCCTAATGTTTCCCCAGTGGCGTAGCTTGGGGTCAAGGGTGGGGGAACGTGCCCCGGGCGCAGGTTTGAGGGTGCGCTGAAATGGGAACATGAAATAAAAAAAGCATCAGCATTTTTTTGGAAAAAACACTACGAAATTTTTTACTCTTGCACCCGGGCGCCAAAACATCGAGCTACGCCACTGTTTCCCACGGACAGGTTCAGCATCATACGAAGTTAAACGGCATGATCTAATATTGCTGCCATTCAAAAAAAAACATTTTTAGTTTTATATTTTTTTTTAATTTTCATTTTTTAAAGAACATAAACTTCTAAGTAAGATATATCTATGTATAATATATCAACTGACTGTATACACGTACAGCTAATAATTGGCCTTAAAATATTTAATAATTGACAGGAAAGCGATAATGTCCTAGCTTTGTTCTTTTATATTATATTAGTTTTATTTAGTAGCCTATTTTAGGCTAATAAAGCTTTGTCAAACCTTCAAATTTTATGTGACAAATCAATGTGATACGCTTACAGTTGGTTGTAATAAAACATCATCATGCCCAGAGGCACATCATTTGTCACAAATTAATGATGATTTTGTGTTACACCTATATGGACATATCACAGTTATTTTTCACATAAGATTATTTCAGAATTTGAAATGTTTAACATCTTTATATCCAGTTCTTCCTGCCCTGAGTGATGCTCCACTAGTGAGAATGTTTCTAAATACCTGTAATGTCGAGATTAGTTGGTCAATCTGGAGTCTGGACAATGACTACGGCCGTGGAAACGTCCACAGTTACCAGCTGGAATACTGGCCAACTAGTCACATCACCGATTTAGTTGTTTTAAATACCACAATGGACACGGAAATGAACATATCGAGGACACAAATGAACAATAACACAGAATATAGTTTCACAGTAAAGGTTGTTACTGATGTTGAGGGTGTGTTAGTGGTTGGAAAACCTAGTCCACTGGCAGTTCAGATATGTAAGTATTATAACACCAAGAAGGTATACGTCCTTGATTTCGTTGTTAACACCGTCATTGGGTATTTTGAAGACGCTTAAATTTTATAGAGCATTATTTATATACATTTGTACATTTATTTATATTACCTAGCCAAAACATTTCTTCAACTCAGATCAACAACAATCAATTTTAAATATATAATATAATAAGCTATAATTTAAATCAATACTGATAATTATGATTAATAATTATTGTGGGGTTATGGAGCGTCCTCGTCGCCAATTCAACCACCACCAAACAGTGGACACGATAAGAAGATAATTAATATTGTTAATATAATTCTGGTTTATTATTACTGCATGTCACCACCATTGTGATTGTCATTATCTCCTTCATGGACATTATAATTGCAATTATATTTATTATCATAGATATTGTGATTGTTATTGAAAGTTTTTATAATCAATAGAAATTTATTTTGTTGTTACATTACTTGTCCTCAAATTGAAAAAGCAAGCATGTAGATTTTGTTATTTCTTAGAATTATGTATTAATAAAAATAGAATATTTAAAATCAACTATTATTTTCTAAATCCAGATCTTTCAGATCTTCAAGATCTTCCAGCTCTAAGCAATGCTCCACTCTTCGAAGTGTTTGCGAATTTTTTCAATATCAGTTGGTCGATCTGGAATTTTTACAAGGAATATGACTGTGGAACCGTTGACAGTTATCAGTTGGAATTTTGGCCAACTAATGATACCAGCGATTTAGTTCTTTTAAATGTTGCAATAGGCACCGAAACGAGCATAACATGCGCAGATATAAAATACAACACGGAATACAGTTTCACAGTAAAGGTTCTTACTGAGGTCGACGGTGTATTACTTGTTGGAAAACATAGTCCGCTGGCATTTCATCAGATATGTAAGTATTGTACATAATCCTGCAGGGATTCTACAATCATCGTTACGTCATCTGTATACAACGCATATTACGTATTAAATATAATTAGTTTATAATCGTACTTGGTAATTTAATACCATAAATATCTATATTTATTCTAATTTTGATTTATGTAAACGTATTTGAGTAAGACTAATCATTATCTATTGTTTTGTTTTAACTGGTATATTGTTTTATCGGAGATGAATAAAATGTCCTTGGACTAACACTAGGCTATGCAGATCACAGTTAATGAATCGCAAAACAAAACTCCCCTAGTACGAGATATTGTCAACACACATTTGGCACTATTTGTGAGAAAATGGCCTCTACTTACACACCGTTCTTGCACTGTTAACAATTTATATAAAAAATTCCGATCATATTATGTAGCAAAACAACATGAATGTTGTAAATTAATATATTATTTTCTGTACTGGCCTTTTCGTGTTAATACACAACAAAACATTGTACATTTACTTAATGTTGTAGGTATACAAAAATACAGACTTTTATGATTTTGCATAGCTCCTTGTTAATTCACATACTTTTTTTTTTGTTAATTAACAACAGTTGTGTTGTACCTTACAAATTTTGTCCACGTTTTTATCACGCGTTGTTTGTGTACGACAATATACTTTATATTTACTGAATGTTGCAGAAATGTAGACTTTTCAATAGTTTCTTAAAATTCTTGTTAATTTATAGTTTGCTGTAATATAAGCTATACTATAAATCAATACAGATAATTTTGATTAATAATATTGTGGGGATTGGTAAAAGCGTCCTCGTCGCCAATTCAACCACCACCAAACAGTGGACACGATAAGAAGATAATTAATATTTTAAATATAATTATGGTTATTATTGTGTGTCACCACCATTGTGATTGTTATTATCACATTCATGGACATTATCATTGCAATTATATTTATTATTTATTATCATAGATATTGTTATTGAAAGTTGTTATAATTAGTAGAACTTTATTTTGTTGTTACATTACTTGTCCTCAAATTGAAAAAGCAAGAATATGTAGATTTTGTTAATTCATAGAATTATGTATTATTAAAAACAGAATATTTAAAATCAACTATTATTTTCTAAATCCAGATCTTCCAGCTCTAAGCAATGCTCCACTCATCAAAATGTTTGCGAATTATTTCAATATTAGTTGGTCGATCTGGAATTTTTATAATGACTACGGCTGTGGAACCGTTGACAGTTATCGGTTGGAATTTTGGCCAACTAATGATACCAGCGATTTAGTTGTTATAAATGTTACAGTAGGCACCGAAACGAGCATAGCGTGCGCAGATATGAACTACAACACGGAATACAGTTTTACAGTAAAGATTCTTACTGACGTCGACGGTGTATTACTGGTTGGAAAAGCTAGTCCGCTGACATTTCATCAGATATGTAAGTATTGTACATCATCCTGCAGGCATATTACGATCATCGTTACGTCATCTGTATACAACGCATATAACGCATTAAATATAATTAGTTCATAATCGTATTTGGTAAGTTAATACCATAAATAATCATGTTTATTCAAATTTTGTTTTAATGTAAACGTGTTTGAGTAAGACTAATCATTATGTATTGTTTTGTTTTAACTAGTATATTGTTTTATCGGAGTGGAACAAAATGTCCTTAGACTAACACATGCTATGCAGATCACAGTTTAATGAATCGAATATAAAACACAACTCTCCTTGTACGAGATATTTTCGACACATTGTTGCCACTATTTCTGAGAAAATGGCCTCTACTTACACACCGTTCTTTACTACCATCAATGATGTAATACATTCAGAAAAGCTAATCATTTGGTGATGTCGAAGATGTTATGTCGAGTGCAAAATGGCCTGGAGTGAAAAAGACGAGTATTTTAACAATCATGTAGCAATCATTTCAAATAATATTATTTTTTATATTCTTGTATTTAATAGATCCGCCGGTTCTACAAAATCCACCATCTTTTATTTCACGCAGTTCACTTGGTATCAACGTCAACTGGACCGAGTGGGCATTCAATCGTGATGATGGCATTGGATGTGTAACTGGTTACGTTGTTGAATGGTGGGATGCAGTGGAAGCCTGGAATATCAGCAACAACACATTTAATGGAAAGCCTTCTGAAGGAATACTCATCCCTGATATTCCATACTATACTACTCTGGTTTTGCAAATCAAAACGCTCTATAATAAAAGAAGCAGTGAAGTCATCGGATTACCAAGTCCATTACTGGTTATATTTAGAGGTGAGTAGGACATTTAAAAGATAAACATCTTTCCATTGTGTTTATGACAAAAACAACTCTTTAACAGGATAATTTTTAATGTGCCTAAGCCATCTTGCTGCTCTTTCCTTTTGTGTTTAATTGTTATAATCTGTATAGTTGTCTTTGTTGTTTGTGTGACTGTATTGTGATGCACTTGGTTCCTGAATAATAACTGATTTTGTGCCTACCATTGTTTTCCTGAATTATTAAGGCTTGGCTTGCGCTTCATAACCGCAAGGGAAAGGCGCAATATTTATATTTATTTTATTTTATTTAAAACATCTTTAGACAGGATAATATATACAGGCGAGATCTTACCGCTGTTTTACAATATGGTCCTGCAAAAACACTGTACAATAATAAGAACAACATGTAACCAGCACAATGCAATAAAATAAGAATAGTAAAAACTTTAGTGGAAAACTATCCCCCGCCGGACACCAACCCTGTACTTCTAAGTCAAGGTCTTGGGGCCAGGTATTACTGCTAAGGTTAAGCTTAACTACATAACTTAATTACAATATTGTAAAAACTAGGTTTGGGGCTGGGATCACAACTTCAATCATAACTACAAACCGAACTCAACAATGGTAAAAACTATCCCAAGCCGGACACCATCTCGGTACTTCTGAGTCAAGGTTTCGGGGCCGGTATTACAATTTTTAACCTAACTATACAAAATTAAAAACTATACAATGGTAAAACTAGGCCCCGCCGGACACCATCCCGTTACTTCTGAGAATATAAATACCCAGTACCAGCAGTGTTTCAAATTATTAAACAAAAAAGAACAAAATCAGTGACAAAAGTTAATTTGTTTACTGAAAAGGTTTTTCTTTCGTAGTCAAAATCCTCTTCTGTTACGTTTGGTATTAAAAATTAGCAGGCCTAGGCCAAATAGTCCAACAGCATAGGAGGCTTTCTTCTTTCTATATATAGCCCGATGATGACCTATGGTCGAATGTGCTCGTATAGAATTTCAGCTTTAAGCAGATAAATAAACTATGTTTGAATTCTTTATACGTATTTGCTCATTTATTTAAAGAGGAATGTCCGTATGGCTGGAAGCAATTCGAAAAAACATGCTATTTGTTTGGTGAAAATGTCAATAATTGCGATGACGCAAACTCGTTTTGTCAAAAAGAGAGTGCAAAATTGGTATCAATTACATCACGAGAGGAAAAAGATTTTGTATTGTCACAATCAAGCAACATATCCCATGAATACTGTTGGATTGGGGACTGGAACTGGACACAAGGTTAGAATTTGGAGTCTCATTTCAGATTTAAACTTTGACGTGGTTTTTACCAAGATGACAGTAGCTTTCCTCCACTGATCTTTCTTATAATAGCTGGATTGTTCATCATACAATCATTGTACAGAATATAAATAAAACCACCGGCGCCATGTTAAGAAGCCCAAATGACGTATATAAATTTAAATATAAAGAAATTATTTTGTTTTCACATCCTCTAACCACTCAACACGACTGTCTGTGCAGTAAAACAAAAACGTGTGCATTGTTGATGATCGTCACTCCGATTCAAAATTTGCGCTGTGATGACGTATTGTCGCTTTTTGAGTTCTCCAGCATGGCGTCGGTGACTTCACTAAAAACCAGCTAATTGTCAATCCAGTTGTTATAGTAGAGATCAGTGGTAAACTCGTGTACTCACTGCGCCCGACTGTCTGTAAAGAAGGCAACGCCACAACGCGCGCATAATGGGATTGTCTTTTTATGACGATCAGTCAGACTTCCACCGACAGTCAGCAGACGACGTCTCGTCGTCTAGCGTTCACAGGAAGCATAGTTGGATTGTCGTATGACGGTCGTACGATGTCGTACGACGCAGTGAGTGCCCGGCTTAAAAAACAAATGAATTACTCATAAATAAAAGAAATTAAGGAATTTTAAGGTTGTTGTTTAGTGCCTTAAATACAATATAAACAACTGGATAAATATAGTGCTTAAATAGGAACAAAATGTTATAATCGTATCAAGCATAGCCCTTCAACGAAATGTTCCTCATTAATTCAGTTGTATGAAGAAAAGTGTCTCTAGGAGGATCCGAACTTGCAACTTCTTGCTGTCAGGGTGGGTGTCACATCCATTAGACAATGCATACCTATATGATATACGACTCCTTTAATTGTGTTATTTTATCGTTTAGACGGGGAAGGAAAATGTACACAATTTTACCCAACTTCTGTCTCCTGGTCCGACGGCCCTTGTGAAAGCAATCAAACAAGAGCCGTCTGTGAGAAAGGTAGGTTCACTCATGCTAAATTTATCATTACTGTTTGTGCACTACAATATTCCTTTTTCAAAAGTAACCAGCTCGAGAATGTGTACCGAATTAAAAGATAATTTTTTATATTTACAATAATATGATTATTTGTATTATTATTATCATTAGGCTACTGATGTATTTTTGTTTGTTTGTTCATATTATTTTTGTTCACCAAACTACCATTTCTTTTTTCTTAAAAGACAATAAAATTTATATTGTATCTTATAATTTTCCACACATTCTGAGGTGGTTACTACTTAGGATTGTATATTGTTTAGTAGATGTTAAGGTGGTGAAACACATGCAAACTTCGGCGTTACAACATAATCCAACAATATTACAGTATCACAACTTTTTCTTATTTAACAATTATTTTTATTAGTTTTTTTTTTATTAACTAGATGTTCAGAAATTTGGCTGTCTTGATGGAAGTTGGCATGGTTATAAGGATAATTGTTACCGCCATTATAGCAATCTGTCATTATGGCCCACAGCTGTATCTTTTTGCAGAGGGCTGAGAAATGCTGACCTGGCCAGCATCCATTCACAAAAGGAGGATGAGTTTATTCAGACTATCATTCAATACTATGACGGATATTCGTGGATTGGTTTAAATTCTTGTAAGTAATTGTAACACTGCTAGAGTGCATGCATTTTTTAAATTGCTGAATTGAGATCAATATCAAATTGTGCCAGACAGAAAGTCATTGATTCTCATCTTAATAAAGACGAGAATTATCACCTAATCATAATTAATTATTTCATTCATTCATTCATTCATACATTCATTCAATCAATCATTCGTTCATTTATTCATTCATTCATTTTTATTTCATACATTGTCCATAACACATAATAGATACCAGTACAAGTATATTACATAGTTCAACAAAGAAAGAAAAATTAGAAAGCTGAGATTAACCACCGTTCCGTGTACAAAACAGAAAGCCACCTATCATGTAGCTTCGAATCACAATGTACATTGATACAAATAGTGGAAACAAGTACATTACAGCTAGTAACCATAATCTATGAGTCAGTGTTACAAGAAGTAGGCCTACAGTATTACTCACCATACTATGGAAGACTAATTCCTAGCACCAATCTCTAATATTGTTTGTGCTTTTTGCGCTTTGAGAGAAAAGAGGACTTTGAAATTGTGAGACAAATTTTTATCATAGTCAACAATACTGCCATTATATTTGTCAGAAGATTCCTTTTATACAATGGGCAGTGAATCAAAGAACCACAGATACACGGAAGAGTTATAATCACCGATTTTAAAAGTCTATTGTGCTTTACGTTTTTTCCTCTAGCTGACGAGGAACACTGGAGCGATGGAACTTACGTTAACTACAGTGTCATCGAAACTGGTGCAGAAGGTGGGTGCGTTGTATACAGCCAGGAAAATCACGTATTCTCTTGGAAAACTCAACTGTGCGCATCATCACCACATGCGTACGTGTGTAAGGATATGAGAGGTAATATTTATTGTGTTAACTGTCGAATACTGAATTGTTTCTAACGCATTGGTGTAAACAAAATTTGACTAATGGTACGAAGAGTTAACAATATAACGCCTTACAACATATTAGCTCAAATTCTAACATGTTTACTCTTTTCACAGCATTAACAGAAAACAGAATTTTCTTTACAGCATTAACGATATTTTTTTACAGCATTAATCCCGTTTACTCTACAGCGTTAACATTTTATCCACAGCATAAAACAAACTGGAAGTAATTTTTTTCACGTATCTGACCATGATTTATGTTAAAGGGTTAACAAAGTTTTATTTCAGCTACCAAGGAATATTTCCTTTCCACTTGTTCTTTGTCTTTGATTTCAACGGAATTTGCTGTTTGAGTGTTGGATCAATCGATTACTCACAAGAAGACGGGTAAGTAAACACTCTTATTAATCTGATGTTCTTGTTACTATTTACAATAGATTATTTACGAAACAACAATCATATGCACTACTGAAGGGCTACTCGTCAATAATATTGATATTGATAACAACAATAAACTTATGAATTATATTGTTAGAAAAGTAAACATTTAAAAAAATCACAAATATTTCTCTGCTAAACGAATAAACGTGTAAGGTTTTGCATTATCAACCCATAGTGACATACGGTATTGATCTAAACAGGATGGGTGCATTGTTGAAGATGACTTAAATGGATAAGAACACATAATGGTAGGAAATGGAGGCGTTCTCATCAATGACGATATTAGCATTTTTCCTGTAAATGTGCTCTCGAAACTATGTTAATGAGGTACAATGTTGTAATAAAACGTTCTTGTATATTATATATCACGCAAAAATAGTAGTAGTGGTAGTGGTGGTAGTGGTGTTGGTGGTGGTGGTGGTGATGGTGGTGGTGGTAGTAATGGTGGTAGTAAGTAGAAGTAAGTAGTAGTAGGTAGTAGCAGCAGCGGCAGCGGCAGCGGATGCGGCAGCGGCAGCGGCTGCGGTTGTTGTAGTGGTATTATTATTATTATTATCATTATTGTTATTATTATTATTATTATTATTATTATTATTAGTGTTATTATTATTAACAAAGTTTATGGATGTTTTTGTTGCCGCTGCTGTTGTTTCTCTGTTGTTGCTCTTAATGTAGTTTTGGTTGTTGTTGATCATGTTTTTTTCTGTTTTATCATTTCGTAGTCATTGATTCTTAATATATCTTAATTTTATCACAGGAAAGTGAACCCCACGGTGTGACAGCTGGAGAAGTACCACGATTCCCTCTTTATCAAGTAATTGCTGTAAACAGGAAGAACAGGCAATATTTCGCATGGAAAAAGTTGTACTCATAAAATCTTCGTGTTAAATATGACATCCAGGAACATTTTGCAGTTTTTCAGACACCTTTCAAACATTCGGACATTAATTGTATCGATATCAAGAATAGTTTTAGTCCATAATGAAAAACAAAACCAAGAAAAGTTATCCGTATCATTTAACAAAAAACACTGACGTGCGTTGCTGCTTATCTGACCTGAAAAAAAATGTATCTGGCATTGGCTACACATCTAGTTGCTAAAGTTTGTCTTAAAATTGATGTAATAAAATGTAGAATCATGCCTAGTATCGAGTGAGTCATCAATGAATAAATGGTTGGATACCTTAAAAAGGTATTTTTTCAACAGTTACCATCCCAGCAGTTTTAGGAATGAGGAGCTAATGAATATATGAACATACGTTATGAACATTTTCGAGAGATAGAAAAGCAAGAACCTAATTTAACCAGTTAATTTATTTGTAAATAAACAATGAACAAATACGCAGATGATCTGAATTGACATTCTATACAATGTAACTGTACAATTCTGTCTTTCTATTTAGACACACAGTCGCATTTAGTACTAATAATACACACAGTTACAAATCCATACATGATACCTTGTCAACATGGCTGCCAGAACACATGAGTAGCATTTAATATGTACTCCATTGCCCGCTTTGCAAGGCTACTACAAAGACGTTTGTCTGTGTTCAGTATATTATATCTACCTCCATGATTACATTAACCATCAGTGATGCTGTATGAAAATGATTTCTGGAGGCCTTCTCAATTTAAACAGAGAAACTGAACTATTTGTTTTCATAATTCATGCTGGAGGCGTGTTTTCAACATCTTCTGATTAAGTATCACTTCAAAGGAAAACTTATATAAGCTGAAAAATCAATGGTCACAAGTACACTAAAAATTAACTGATTCAAAAATGTTCTTATCCTACTTTGGATACAAGGCGAAAGAGTAAAACGGATGCGTGACTGGAAATGTGATGTGAAGATGACTCTGCAGTGAATAGACACGCATATTACTGAATATTCTAACGCTCTGATTATTCTAACGTGGCGATATCTTTTTCTTTTTTATCTTAAATTCATAGTAGTACACAAGACGGAAAAGTGTGTATAATCTACTACAATTTTCTATAGTGTATGGTAACGGGGTAACCCCATATACAACTTACATGGTGGCACAATTAGCAGATCTATGACATTTATAGGGTACCAGTACATAGGGTACCACAAACGTGATCCCTAGGTCCGGGTGTCTCTTGAGTTTCTCGTAGGGTTAAAATAATTATTGTCTATAGTGCTTCGTCGGATTTCCGAACGGTGGAGGGTTGTAATTTAAAAAAATTATTACAAATCCTTTTAATACTTAATTATGGAGAATAATAGTAAAATAATAATGTATATGATTCTGTTTTTATCCCCTTTTCGATTATTTAAATGTTAATTTATTTTTATTTTTTTTTTGTAAATTGTACGCAATTAAGCCACAAGGTACCTTGCCAATTTTGAAAATGAAATGAATGAATAGCTTAATGGTTTAGGCTATTAGCAATATATATATATATTTTTTTAAGAAAATCATGGCAGGAACAGTGACAGCTTTTAAAAGCAATTTTAGATAGATGAAATAAATATAATTATCTAATCTTCCAACCTTTTTAATGATTCAAAGTCTCCATAGTATGAACATTTTTAAATTTTATTACCAGCGAATTAATTTGTTAATAACTCAATTCGTAGTTGGAAACGCGTATGCTCGTATCAAGGTCAATCGATATAAACACCATACAAATTTCAACATGAGCATATGTCGATAACCTTACCTTAATATATTATTTATATTTCTTCAATTATTCTTTTGAATGGTGAAGTGATTGCCTGGTATGTATATTAAGCGTGTTTTGAATTCTCATGACAAAAGGGCCTAATGGAAAAATACCCGGTCCTACCGAACCAATACCCAATCCAATAATGGAAAAATACCCGACCGAGAGCCTAGTTCTAAGTGTTTGGATTTTATATTATATAGAAAAAAAATACCAATAACAACACTACTATTCCTCCATAGCGTATGTTTTGTGTTAATTTGTGTTAATATTAGGAATTTATTATTATTGTCATTATTATTGTTATTATTATTATTATTATTATTATTGTTGTTGTTGTTGTTGTTGTTGTTTGTTTTATTTCGTTTTTTTATTTAATGTATTCAAATAAAACATTGTATAAACCGACGCAACTGTGACTAAAATAAAATGAAAAACACAAAATATGTAAATATCTTGATAAAAAGAAAATATTATTGTTATTGTTGTTATTATCTTTATCATTTTTATATTTATAATTTTTTATATTTATTTAATTATTTATTATTTTTATTATTATTAATATAGTGTTTGTGTGTATGTGTATAGATCAATTATAAGAACAGTGTGGAATACATATAGAGAAATAATATGTTATATATGTATCAGCCATATTTCATTATGTTCAGTTATATAGAATATGACTAGGGCTATATATATTTATTATAATATCCATAATTATTATTATTATTCTAATTATTATTAGTATTATTAGAGTAGGACTAGTGCCATTTGAGATTTTAAGAATGAATTAATATTTACTTTGATAGTAATTTCAACACTAACAAGACAATTAAAGATGTACCGGTATTGTCTATGCAAAGTACCATCAACTCATTTGAAATTAACATAAAAATTATCAACATGAAATTAGAAAGTGTATAAAAAATGTTTAGCCATTGTTTTAGAGTAAATAAATGACAGAAACACTTCCAGTCACTTGAGTGTTTCTT